TGTGACCCCTGGATTCCCAAAAACTAAGCTGGTGACCTTTCACCTAATTAGTGGGGGGGGTTGACCCCTCATGACCCCAAGTTGACCTCTCTGTGACCCCTGGCTTCCCAAAAAATAAGTTGGTGACCTTTCACCTAATTAGTGGGGGGATTTGACCTTGTGTGACCCCAAGTTGTACTCTCGCGACCCCAAGTTGACCTCTCTGTGACCCCCCAGGTTTCCCAAAAAATAAGTTGGTGACCTTTCACCTAATTAGTGTGGGGGGGGGGATTTGACCTCACATGACCCCCCCCAAGTTGAACTCTCTGTGACCCCTGGCTTCCCAAAAAATAAGTTGGTGCCCTTTCACCTAATTAGTTGGGGGATTTGACCTCTCGTGACCTCCAAGTTGACCTCTCTGTGACCCCTGGATTCCCAAAAAAATAAGTTGGTGACCTTTCACCTAATTAGTGGGGGGGAGTTGACCTCTCGTGACCCCAAGTTGAATTCTCTGTGACCCCTGGATTCCCAAAAAAATAAGTTGGTGACCTTTCACCTAATTAGTGGGGGGGAGTTGACCTCTCGTGACCCCAAGTTGAATTCTCTGTGACCCCTGGATTCCCAAAAAAATAAGTTGGTGACCTTTCACCTAATTAGTGGGGGGGAGTTGACCTCTCGTGACCCCAAGTTGAATTCTCTGTGACCCCTGGATTCCCAAAAAATAAGTTGGTGACCTTTCACCTAATTGGGGGGGAGCTTTGACCTCTCGTGACCCCCAAGTTGAACACAGAAAGGTCTGCGTGGGGTTCCTGTAGTCCAAGCCCCCCAAGGTGAGGCGAGGTCGATGCAGTGCTCCTGGGGCCCCCATTGCTTCCTGGCTGGGCAAAGGGCTGTGGTGGGGCTGTGGGCCAGGAGCGGGGGGCACGGCTTGGGGAAATTGCAGGAAGTGGGTGAGCAGAGCGTATGCTATGTGGCTGAAACTCCGTGTCCCAGGGAAGCCCGTCATCCAGTCTGCCTGCTCTCCCCAACTCCATCACATGTTGAAAGTGCAAAAACCCTGATGTTCAAAATACCCTCTACTTTCAGGGGGTTCACATTTCCACTTTCCCACGTGGACCTAGACACCACCCACAGAACTACAGTCAGACTGGGGCTTGAACCCACAACCTTTGCTACCAACAGCAGTAACCTTAGGAGCAGACTACAGGGAAAGGCTGAAAGCACTGCCTGCCATGGGTCCCTTGATGTGCAGCAGCCAGGCCCCTCCATTGAAAGAGGAAGGCACCTCCCCACTAAACAGGGGGAGGCCAGGACCTGAATCCAGGACCTCAGCACTCACAGTGGGAGACTCTGCACTGTGTACCACAGGGCCTGGCTGGCTCCAGGCTTCATTTCTGGGCCCCTTGACTCTTTCCCTGCGGACACACGCTGGCTCCACTACAAGGGGAGCCCTGGGAAAGCTGCAGCCCCTACCTACCTTGTGGCCTGGTGGTCAAGGTCTCATTCTTTCAGACAGGGCTTGTGGGTTTAACTCCATGCAGGGCCAGCATCCTTTGGCTTCAGCTTTTGTTCTTGCTTTCTCCGGTGGCGCTTGTGGGGGGAGTGTGACTAGGTGGTGTGGGTCTGTGTGTATGGCATTGTGAGGTGGGTGTGGATGCATTTGTATTGTGGGGGGGAGTGTGGGACTCACCCTATGAACACACACACTGTGTGCCTGTCTCTGCACACATACACACACTCTCTTTCTTTCTCTCCTCCCCTCCCTTATTGCACAGGCATGGGCATGGACACACACACACACACACACACCCTCCTGCTCTTGACCCCAGGATACCTACGCAGCCTCATGTTCCTATGGTCCAGCAATGCAGCTGGGGGCCAGGTGGTGTTGGAGCAGCTGTGTGCAGGGAAGGAGTAAGAGCTGCTGCAGGCAGAGACTTCTGGGTGGGAGGGGCAGAGGTAGGAGGGGTTGGGGTGGAGGTGGGGGCATGCTGCTGAGTCCTCCGGGCTTCCCCTGGGTCCTGCTACCCCTGGATCCTGTCATCTTGGACAGGCAGCCAGGAGCAGATAAATATTAATTTTC